TACTTCTTATCCCTCAGTGTTGCTATTTGAAGCAGCAGAAAATGAAATTTTGGGGTCAAAACACCACAAGATTTAAGCGATTCTTAGCAGTAAACTACATGATTAATTTAACATTAAAAAACCTTAGTTTGTACACACCAGGAATGTCTCCTTTCTTCTAATTCTCTTCAGAGCTTGTGCTGAGGTTCAATTTGCTCAGACTCTTTTCCCTCTCTCAAAGTGTCTGACAGCCAGCTCTGGCACTTGTTTTAGCAGAAATTATTTGGAAGAAGAGATGGACATAAGAGACATCAACGAATCACAGAATGGCCTGGGCTGGAAGGGACCTTAAAGATCATCTCATTCCAACCCCCTGCCATGGGCAGGGACACCTTCCACTAGCCCAGGGTGCTCCAAGCCCCATCCAACCTGGCCTTGGACACTTCCAGGGATGGGGCAGCCACAGCTTCTCTGGGCAACCTGTGCCAGGGCCTCCCCACCCTCCCAGGGAAGAATTTCTCCCTAATATCCAATCTAAACCTACTGTCTGTCAGTCTGAAGCCATTCCCCCTTGTCCTGTCACTACACTGGCTTCCTGTAAAAGGAGTGGTGTGATCTTTCCAGACACAGCTCTGGCTGAGCCTTATGATGCTGTAACACACGTCTGAGACAGCACAGACAAATCTGTGCTTTATTTTCATAAACACACCCCATTTATCTTTGGGGAAAAATACTCAACTGCAATAAAACAAAAAAAACCTTGACAGCTGCATTTGTTTAATTTTAAAAAGAGACAGCTGTACTTCTTGTTCAGTGAAGTGTTGCTCATATTCTCCAGCCAGAAAACCCCAAACCCCCAGCACTATTTAAAGCAAGTCTGCCATTTTAATTATTTGCCACAGAAAATTATGGAGAGGGCAGAAAACAAAAGTGCACTTGGGTAAGAAATTCAAACTTTGTGTCTCTAACTGAAATATTCTCTTCCTAGGAAAGAAACATGTCGTTCTGACTACAAAAGATGCATTCTAGTCTCCAGGGGTAAGAGAAATCACAATGAATGCAGTAAAGATCCTCATAGGGACTGCTGGAAATGGGAGAAGAACACTTCTGAAGGAACAAGACAAGTATATTTGTGACTCCAGCATTAGTCTCACATTCCTTTGGAAGATTTTTTTATTTTTCATATTTGAATGGAATCAACCAGTAAAAGCCAATTTAAAACAAAACCAAACCAAACCATCCATAGTTAAACTACATTTGCCTAAGACATCAGCTAAAAAGATATGCTCACTCTCTTTTAGGATCCCATCTGCTTTTCCCCTCAGCATTACAATGATTTTTTGAGGGGAGTCACTACACTTACACACACTCAACTAAGTCCATATCCTACTTTCCATTCCCAATGTGGTGAGGGCTTATTTTTTCATGATGAAACCATCACTCCTCTTATTTGTATTAAAAGCCAAATTTTTGTAACTTGTAAGCAGCTTGAGTTAAAAAAAAAAAGAAAAAAAAGAAAAAATAAAGCAGGCCTGGATAAAACTCATAAAAGGTAGTATCAAGTGTTCTCCAACATCCCAGGGGGAGGTGATTTCATTCTCTGGAATCTTCTAACTGAATAGTTTTATGTCTGTCTTGAACAGAATTCCAGTGACCCACCCTCCAGTTAAGGCATTTCTAACTCCTCCTAAATCAGAGACACAATCCATTTTAGCATCCAAAATTAGATCTAGTTTATATTATTCTATCTCACATTCATTAAATTATATACATGTATTTTTAAAATAATCTTTGCTGGGATCACTGAAGGAGACAACTTTCCCTTCTTTTTTTGCTTTAAAGAATGAGGGGATTTTGAGATTTAATTCAGACCCTTTAACTTCAAACCAAATGGAAATTAAAAAAAAACCAAAACAACCCAAACCTCCCTAAAACTCTTACTTGGGGTAGAATCATTTCCTACTCTGCAATGATCAACAGACAGGCAAGCAGAAGGACATCATAATGCAAGAATCGGTAACATAAATATTATCCATCAGGAGAACAGCCCCAAAGAGAGACTTTTTCACTGAAAGAGCACCAATTTGTAAGGAATAGGCTAGGGAGCATTAGCCAGGTAAGTTAAGTGACAGAACACCATGGCCAAAGGATCAGAATTTGGGTATGGGACAGAATCTCCTACAAAGGGGCATAGCCCAGCACCCAGCATAATTTTTTATTAAAATAGCCCTAGAACATTAAAAAAAAAAAAAGAATACTTTTGTATCCTGAAGTTATTACTGAATTTCCATGACAGGAGGGGAGAGTTGGAAAGTACACATTTGGAAACCTTTTTCTTGTTCTTATCACAGCAGGAGATCAGCAGACAGGGCCCTGCAGTTGATCAAGTGACAGCAAAAGGCATTCCTTGCAATACAAGGAATTCCATTTAAGGCAAACACAAGAAGGGTGACTGGACACTGGAGCAGGTGGCCCAGAGAGGTGGAGGAGTCTCCACGGTTGGCCACATTCAAAACCCAACTGCCCGTGGTCCTGAGCAACCTGGTCTGGCTGACCCTGCTCTGAACAGCAGATGTTCAAAGGTGCCACCTAACCACAGGTCATTCTATAATAATTTTGATTTTGATTTTTGAAATACACGATAAAGCTTTATTTTTCATATCTCTAGAACAGAGGCAGCTTCATTTGTCCACAAGCAGCTTTTTAATCATGGCTGTCTTAATCCAGATATCTTTGGCTTGTGCTTTCTACAGTGCACATGGCTGTAAAATAAGTTAATTTGCAGATATCCAGACACTGCACTTCAAGAAAATTACATACTTGTTGCAGTTCACACTTCAGGCTCAGGTAAGAAAACTGCACTGGGGGGGGTATTTTTAAGTCAATAAACTGTAAGAGGTGATAAAACAAAAAGAGCATCTCAAAAACTTTGCAGACAGACCAACAGACAGACAAAACAATCCTGAGTCCAGCCAAGCTCTGCAACTGCTGAAGGAGCCAGACTGCAAAGTGGAAAATACAGTCAGAGCCAAGTGAGGAGGAAGCCAACTCAGACTGGCTACTTTCCACCACCAAGTGTCAGGTGAGAGCTAGAGGGATACATTTTAATAGATTCCCATTCAAATTCCAGTGACAATTATTCCTGGTAAGCTGGTACCTACAGCCAAATCAAAAGACCAGACATATGGTTGCTTTTGTGATGAATGGCCTGACAGGAGGGCTGGGAAAGCCCCACCTGCCAAAGAGCAATTTAGGTGGTGTTCGATACTGTCTGAGCTGCCCCAGTGAGAGTGAAGTTATAATGGGTGTTTTCTAGGGAGGATATTTGCCTCAGGAAGGAATTTCCAAGGGATTTTCTTAATTTGGCTCTGGTTGCAACTGAAATTTATCTCCACTTGGAACCAGAGTTGCCTGCCCCAGATGAACTGGGGACGTGCTACAGAAAAGGAAGCCTGCAGAGCTGACAAAACCTCTGTGTTTCCAAGGCTCATGGAGGCCTTACAAGAGTTCAGGCTGATAACTGAGGATACAGAAAAAAAACCAAAGAGAAATTACACAGGAGAACATTAAATTACTGTCTAGAACCGGGAGTCTGACATTTTTTGTGTTGTGGGAGGAGGCAAAGGAAACAGGGCAAAGAGATATTGAAAGCAAGGTAAAGAACTAAAGTACCACAACCACTTTATTATTTCTAAATATATATCAGTTAATCATTACTAGGAAATGACCATGGCAGCATAATTGTGTCCCAAAAAACCTACAGGCAGAAAATAAAATATGAAAGCTATTCAGGAACCAATTAGCATTAAACAAAAAGCTGCAAGTAGCACCACCAGTAAAAGCACATTTAACAGTTAAACATCAAATACAAGATTTGAGAGACAAACTGACTTTCTACAATTTTTAAATGAAGCTTTAAAAATTATTTGATGCATATAGATAAACACATGCTAGCATTGTGTTCGATCCCCTTAGATCATAAAATAAAAAAGTGCCAGTCTTCTACTCCATTAGATGAAAGTAGATGGAAATGATGTCCAGAAGTACAAATTTAAATAAATAAACATCACAATTTCAGAGAAACTGACTTCATGCTTACAGGTAGAATATCTCGTTGACGTTCGTGAGCCTAAGTTATTTTTCATTAGAAAATTATTATTTTTAAATTGGTTCAGACTGCTCATACAATTTGCAAAACTGCTGGCACACTGAAAAATGCAAAAGTTAGCCTTTAAATTATTAATCTAATTTTAGGTAAAACATAGGCTTTAATGTCTGAATTTAAATAGTATCTAAAGCCAATTATAACTTCTTAGCAAAGAATAAGAATCAGCATGGGAAATACTGAAGGGATGAAGTTGAGGCTTATTCAGATAAAGATATTTCAGATATAAGACCACACAAATTTTTTATAATCTATTCCAAAGAGATGAGTACCAAAATTAAACTCAATACTCATCTGGATAAGACAAGCTATAAAAAATTATCATGCTCTTAATCACTGAGGAAGATCTGACAAGGCTGTGGAGTCTGAAAGATTTTATTTTTTTCCTTCTAAACTGCTCTGCAAATTGCTAACACTGTACAGACTTCCAAGTCACTCCTGCACACCACAATGAAAGGGTAGGAGGAGAACCTGAAGGATCTATTCTACTTGTCTATGCTATTCCCAGTATAACAAAGGATACTTACAATGTGTATAATTTCAATGAAAACCATTAGAATGCACTGCTTTTATATTCTTTGGTACTAAAAATATTGACAGTTTAGTTGTATTTGCAATAACAAATAGCGGCATATTATTATTATTATTACTTAGAGAATGAATTTGTATCGAATGAAAGTTTATAGATTTCAAAGTGTTTCCTTGCTTTCTTTCTAATCTCTGTCAGGTGAAAGATCAAAGGCTACAAGTCTACCCTGCAAATTGTACTTTCATACTCAGTGCCCCCTCACCTCCCCTCATTTTAGCTCCATAAAAAAAGGCTTCACCCCATTTCCCAGCTGGCAGAGCTACTCACCAATGGCCTGAGCAAGGGCTATTACAACTTCCTGGCATGTTGTGACCTCGGTGACCCCACACACAATTCTCTGGACTCCATCCACCCATACTTTGAGCTCCATGGTTCACCAGATCATCCAAGAGCCATGGATGCGCATCCGTCAAGTCATACTTGCAGCTACACCGGAGAGAAGGCAGCAGATGTCCTGCAGCAGCTACAGGAGAGAAAAATCCTGGTGTTCATAGCAAGGCATTACCAATTCTGAAAGTTAACAATTTCAGCTTGTCACCTATTTGGTAGGAGAAGCAACTCACCCTCCTTTCTTTAAATACAACAGGAACCACACACATCTCCTCACATTTTGGGGAAACAGTGGCTGGAAAGTACCCATTGGGAAAGGCCCTGGAGTGCTGGTGACAGCGGCTGGACATGAGCCCAGGTGTGCCCAGGGGGGCAAGAGGCCAATGGCACCTGGCTTGGATCAACAATAGTGTGGCAGCAGGACCAGGGCAGGGATTGTCCCCCTGTGCTGGGCACTGGTGAGGCCACACCTCAAATCCTGTGTCCAGTTCTGGGCCCCTCAGTTCAGGAAGGACATTGAGGGGCTGGAAGTGTCTAGAGAAGGGCAATGGAGCTGGGGAAGGGTCTGGAGAGTCAGTCCTATGAGGAGCAGCTGAGGGAGCTGGGGGGGCTCAGCCTAGAGAAAAGGAGGCTCAGGGGGGACCTTCTTGCTCCCTACAACTCCCTGACAGGAGGTTGTAGCCAGGTGGGGGTCGGGCTCTGCTCCCAGGGAACAAGGGACAGGACATGAGGAAACGGCCTCAAGCTGTGCCAGAGGAGGTTCAGGTTGGACATCAGGAGGAATTTCTTCACAGAAAGGGTGGTCAGGCATTGGAAGGGGCTGCCCAGGGAGGTGGTGGAGTCTCCATCCCTGGAGGTGACCACGGAATGACTGACCATGGCACTCAGTGCTCTGGGCTGGGGGACAAGGTGGGGATCGAGCACAGGACGGACTCCATGGTCTTGGAGGGCTTTTCCAACCTTACTGCTTCTGTGATCCCACACTTCAGCAATATCTACCTGTTGTGTAGACATATCAGTCAGATTCATTACAGTTTGTTTCCTGAAATGTTAAAAGTTTTTATAAAAAGAGCACCCAGAGAAATAGCACTAAATAAACAACTCCAGAGTAAACTTGTAACAGTTTCCAGTAACAAGTGCCTCTCTTCTTTTTTTTATGCTGCCTGGATGTCTCAAGGGACTGGTTAGGGATGCTTTCAGTGTTTGTTCAATAATACCTAGCAGGTGGTGCTGTAGCAAGACAAGGGGGAAACACTTTTAATTACAGCCATCCATGAGAGCCCAACTTTTGTCTCCCTACAGAAACAGCTGCAGATTCCTATTCCCAACAAACCTGTGCATTTAGTATCAAACCCCACAAAGGAAAGCAAGCAAAACAAGGAGATGCATCAGGGAAAGTGTTGTAGAGGTGGTTTAACCCCTGCCAGCACTGTGCTGGTTCTGTGAGGAGACAGATATTAGTTAATATAAATGAATAAACCCGTTAATTATATGCTAATATAATAAATAAACCTGTTATCCCAGGTTTTCCCATAGGCACTGCAATGATACTAAACAAAAAAGGAAGCCATACCACACCTCATCTACTCAGTTTTCACTTTTAAGCATGTCTGGTATACCAGCTCCCAGTTAAATTTTAAAAAAGAAAACTCCCCAGATTTATAAATTAAATAAAATGGTCAGAGGGTTGGTTTTTTTTCTAAAACAAAGAAAACCAATGAGTCAAAAAATCTTTCTGCACTCAAAAGCCAGGAAAATGTTGAAGCACAGAAATAAAGTTTAAAACCCAGGGAGCTAAACTAGGACTGAGCAATCAGCCATTTGCCTTCTGCTGTCTGGTTACCAAGAGTCAAGCTGCTCAAGGTTTATCTGAGTTAATGTCTAGATTAACTACTGATCTGAACTTTGCTTTAAGCTCAGCTTTTCCAGGAGCTGCTTTTCTTCTGTATATACATCCATGGGCATCATGGCTCACAAGAAGTAATTTCTAAGTGGAGATGCTGAGACGCCTCAGAACTCAAAAATTTTGAGGTAAAAATTCCAAGAAGAATTATTGTCTTAAAATTGTAAAGCCTTTCCCCAAAGCTGAAACAAAAACCAAACCACCAATAATGATTATTCTTTTAAAAAAAACCCCAAAACTAAACCAGAAACCAAAATAACCACCCACCAACAAAAAAAAAACACAAACAAAAACAAACAAAGAAAACCTAATCAGACAGCTGGGTTATTTAAGCAGATGGAGAAAAAATAAACCATGATAATACGATAAAAGAAGCTCATGTATTCAGGTAATCCCATATGGATAAAGTGATAATTCTTCCAAAATATTGCCTATAGTTTTAAGTACCAGGAAAAGGGATAACACAGGGATAAAGTGAAAGATATCTGAAAATTATCTAGAGGATTAGTGAAGACAGGCAGGGTAGGGTTACACACAGAACATGGAATCTGATGATGCTGATGGATTTAACAGAACTGCACGTGGAGGCAGAAATGGTGCAGGGAAAACTCAGTGCAGCACATATATTTGTGTGTGTATGTGTGTATCCTGCCCAAAAATACCTGTCCAGAATTATATGTAAATAAATTTATATGGAAATAAAGTAAAACCAGATTTCAAATATGCTCGTACATTTAATAAAAAAGTGACAGCTTTTAAGAATGCCAAGTGTGTAGAGAAATAGCCTTTTGAGATGTGAGTAAGCACGTGAAAACCCAAAGAGGTTTTGATAAATATTTTCCCCCATAAAATCACATAATTCAAAGAATCTGCACAGTGTGCAAATACAGAAACACTTCAATAAGGTAATACCATTTTAATGTACCAATAAACTAAACAGAAAAAAGTCTTTTATCAGCCAGTAATACAACAGTGACTGACAAAACACCTCACAGGCCCCATCAGTGACCTCCCCTGTTTGTTCCTGGACCAGTTGTCTTCCCAAATAAACAGACCTCACATTCCAAGCCCAGCCATAAGGAACTTTGTTAATTAACTTAATACCTAGCTGAGGGTTGAACAGTTCAGAGTTCCTGGCGCAGGCCAAGCCATCTCTCTGTGTGACAACGCACACGTCAGCAAAGCATCCGACAGCTCTAATTGTTTTTCTGCCTGTCAACACCCAAAGTATTATCTCCATTTAGCAAGCCAGCAAGTGCATTTTTTCCCCCCAGTCAGCACACGATGTACAATGTCTTGTGTTCAGTGCTGACCAGGTTTGGTCATCTGTTTTCCTACCATCCATCTTTAAAAAAGAACGGACTAAAGAGGGGCACCATGTAATAATGGAATATTTGCTGACACTTCCGAGTTTGAAAATAACGTTCACCAAAGCTGCAAATGATCCAAACAAAGTGTCTTTGAAACAGTTCAGGCTCAGGGGAAACATTCCCTGTTCGTTTCTTACAGGACAAATAATTTTAATAGACGAAATAGGGATGAAGAACCAATAGAAGCCTGTGGTAAAACAACACACAGGGCTGAATTAAAGGAGTGTGTGAATAAAAGGGCTGCCCAGGGAGGTGGTGGAGTCACCATCCCTGGAGGTGTTTAAGGAAAGGCTGGACTCAGTGCTCTGGTCTAGTTGACATGGTAGTGTTTGCTCAAAGGTTGGACTCTGATCTTGGAGGTCTTTTCCAATCTCAATGACTCTGTGATTCCATGTGCCCCACAAGTGCCCACGGGATTCTTTTGGGGACCTGTCACTAGGAACGCACATATCCAAAGTGGAAGATCTATGTGCTGAAATCACCTTATAACTTCTAAGCAAAACTCGCCTACAATACATTAAAAAAAAAGAAAAATAAATCTAGGACTGTTTTGGTTTCTAGACCATCCATTAGAAGTTTACAGAGAGGTCTGAAAACCAAAAAACCTTCTGGCAGTGTGCCTATCTCTGCTTCCCAATTATAGCTCTGTAACATCCCCTTATTGGCATTTGGTTTTCCTTCATATGTATTCAGTTCTTTATTTGCTGACAGTTAACTTGCATATCAGTAATAGTCTATTTGTCTTTCCACTGAGGGCCACTCTGACAGCCCCAAATATATTTTTTGACCTGAAGTCTCTGTCCAGAATGCACATGGTGCTTTAACATGACAGGAGGCAAAGTAATCCTTACCTCCAACACTGTACAAATTTCTTTCTGAAGCCAATGGAAGGGGTTGGAGGAAAAATCTCACTGGAGGTTTCTCCATCCCGTAAGTTCAAAACCAGTTCGTTTTATGCACAACTTCTTATTTTAGCAATGACTGGGAATAGGAATGCAAAAGTAATTTACTGAGAAGCACACAAGCCAAAGCACACCTCTGATCACAGCTTTTCCCCAACCTGTCAGTCATCAGCTCCACAGTGACACGTAGTTCTGACTAGAATCACTGCAAATCTGGCATCCCCCAGCTATTTCTTCCCTCTTCTTCCCTTTTTTTTTCCACTACCTTGCCTGAAGCCTCCTCAATTACCATGCATTAAACATTTTCCCTAAATTCCCCTTTCATCCTAATTGGCTGATGGTATCTTACTCTTTCAGATAGTTGTTCAGTTTTCAAGTGTAAAGAAAATCCAACACACTCATATACACACAGACAAATACAAATATATATATATATGGTACTATTTGGCTACCTCTCCACAGCTAGTTTACAAAACAGAGAAAAGGATGAAGCTCCACAGAAGACAGGCAGAACTAAGTATTCTATTTAAGAGAAAAATATTCCAAGCAGATGTTTGCAAAACACCTTCTCGTAAGCATTAAGTCACAAGAAACCCTGAGAGCTAAAATTAAGATGCTGATTTCACCTCATTTCTAGGTTCACACCACCTGAAAGCATCATGTACCTCAAATCAGAGTTAAAATCCTGCTGCACAATTTTGACCAGCCAGTTCAGTAACCTTCTGTAGCCCAACATGGACCCAGCATGTTGTTTAGTGCACTTGAAAGTCAGAGTGCTTTCATTCGTAATTAGCTGTAACCAAACATCATTTGGAGTTTTGGCATCTACCCTTTGTTTTTCTCTCTCTGTGCACTATGGCCAAGTTGTGCTCCTTGTTTTTCCCTATTATGACACAAGGTAGGGCCCTGGACAAACAGGCAGCTTGTTCCACCCAGGCTGGAAGCCATTCATTAATAA